TCAGATAGATTCTCGTAGTAGGACAACTTCAGCGTCAGTCATCACGCTGGGTTCCCCAAGAACTAGGGGTGGGCACGGTCTAGAATGGTCTGAGATTTGACTTATCCCGGTACCGATCCCACTTTTATAAACTGATCCGAGAATGGTCTGGGATGAGGCATCGTCTCAAATGGACCGGTATCGTTTGGGACGGGGACAAAACGATCTAGGACAAAACGAGACAAACATATAAACTAAATCAAAAAGTATTGATTCTATTAAAGTTTAAAACAAACAACCAACATATTGATTCCATGATTTCGATAAAAAAAAACACCAATTCAAGCACTTAGACCAAATTACCAAAGAGTATTGATTTCATTATAAGTAACATACCAATCCATTAAATTTAAGTCACCACTCACCAACATCTAAGATCTAATATAAACATTGTGTTTAAAAGCAAATTACCAAATGCATCGTTTAGTCTTTTTTTTAAAAAAAAAAAATGAAACGGGACAAACGGGACGGTTCGGGACAAAATATTCAAAAGTGATACCGACATTGTTTAAAATGGTTCGGTACCGGGAATGAGACAAAAATAAAGAGAACCTTTCAGAACCTTATTTTTCAGAACGGAATCATTTCGGTCCGGTTCCGTACGAGAAAATTCGGGCTTTTTGCCCACCCCTACCAAGAACGGAGCGTCGATGTCGGTCCACTGATGAGCCGGTCGCCTCCAATACCCTTCTTGAACATGAATATCCCTCTCCACTTCAGTGTCACCCTCGATATTGTTCCTCCTCATGTCAAGGCGCTCGACAAACACGAGGTCCTCTCGGAAATACTCCGTCGCCATTTCCAAATCTTCCTTCTAATTTGTAATCGTCCTACTACTACTCGGCGCCACTTGCTCCGCACTCACCTCCACCATTAATTTTATCGAAGAATTGAGGGTTTCTAAGGAAAAATTTCGAAGTAATTAAGCAAAACAGTATTGATATTAAGGAGTACCAAGAATTGAGCGATCCCAACAAAGAAACACAGATTTTTGCGCGAAGAACAGTTGAGAGAGAGTAGAGAAGAGAAGAGTAAAACAACAAAGAAGTTCGAAGGTGTGAAGGAGTATTGAAATTGTTGAAGTGAAACCTTTGAAGGTCAAAAAATTGAGTATTTAGGGCTTTGTGACCCTTGGGAGCGTACGAACGCGTGCAATAGACACATCTCTCAGATGGAACATTTCACGCCCCTTCACTAAAGCACGTGGACCAACCCCTGTCGGACACGTGTGCAGAAACCACATAAGTAGGGGACCGTTACCCCTTGCACATATCTGTTGGGCGCATTAACTGTCGACACGTCATTTCGTAAACGGCGGGTCTTCTGTACCCACCACATTATTTCACTCTCAAAAACAAAAATAGAATTCATTTAAGGGATTTGACGTCGGGTTGGTAGAGAATGCTTCGAGTCGGTATTAAGGGATTGACATCAAGAGTCACCCCCATTTGTGTACCTCTTAATGTCAGATGCCTTTATGTTGACATTCGACCCGAATCATCCAATTAAGATGTGCCATGCGGGAGATCAGATAAGGACCAAAGCATACAACAGATGGGAGGAGAAAAATAAACCGATTCCAGACGTCCTGGAACGAGATAAACGAAAGAACTGGCTTTGCCTTATGGACCGTTGACTGATGTCAACTAAGGACCGAGATCGTTATGGGCGAGATCCATCCAACAAGGAAGCGATACCCGTCAATCGGATGTCGCTTCACACATGTTCTCATCATTATTTATGGGCCCACTTGCAGGGTAGCTGACCCTATACAGTTAACTCGCATTAAATGCCGCCGAATCATATCAAAAGTCGAGACAAAAAGTTCTATAAATAGCCGCATTTACTTTGATACGAGGCCCCCCTGGACACATTAAATTCCATCATTTATTAACTCGGTTATTACAAAAACCGACCTTTTGTACCTATAAAAACATCTACATTCAACACTTTCTAAGAACTTAACTTCCATCATTACTGTTGTTAATTCTCGCATAATAACAAAACCAACAAGTCATCTATCGAACAGTCATTAACTATAAAAAGATTCAAAATGTGTATATTGTTATAAACAATAATGATAATTGAAGTCAAATTACCATATGAATTATTCTATTATAAATAAAGATTAAAATATTTTATAGTATACATTATTATAAATTAACAAGTAATAAATAATGTTTACCTAATTACAAATTATTAAATTTGTAACTTTAAAATAGTATACAGTCTTTTTTTAAAAAAAATAAGTGTTAAATTATAATGAGAAAGAAAGAAAGAGAGAGAGAGAAAGTAGAGAGAGAGAGAGAGAGAGAGAGAGAGAGAGAGAGGAGATGTATTGGTTTGAGTATTATATATTAAAATTGTCGGAATATGTGAAATAAATATATAAATCATATATTAAGCTATTATACATTATTAAAAATATAAAAATAATATTATTATTCAGAACTATTTGTATACCAATCAATATTCATTTATTGCTATAATTTATAGAATATATCATTATCGCTTACTATCTTGTTCGGGTTATATACTAGTTATTTATTTTAAAAAAAAGATAACTTTTAAATTTAGTTTTGTAATCAGAATATCAGGAGGAATAAACAGCTTGTGGTGTCGACGACTTGGGTTGAGTGGAGCGAATCTTCTTTGCGGGCCAGTTATCTGTTGCTTCTGGTGGTTGGTCTTCTTTTTTTGGTTTTATGTTATTAGTTGTTGATATTAGTCTATTTCTTTGCTGGTTGTTAGGTGTTTAGTTGTGTTTTGCTTGTTCTCTTTTTGATGATATTTGGCTAGGATCCTGATCAGTGGTCAATACCCTTTTGCGTAGTTGTTGGGAATTAAAATCCAGCTCCGGTCTCAGTTGCTTTTGTCTCTGCTGGTAGTAGGGTTCTTAATCCCCTTTAGTTTAGTTGGTTGTTCGTTTTGTCTAGGGTTCCCTTTTGGGTTCTTCTCATTTTCCCACTTGTGTGGGCTGTATGGGGCTTTTTAGCTTCCCGTGAACTGTTTTTTATTTCCGAGTTATATCATCTATCGTTTCGAAAAAAAATGAAAATGCTTAGTCCAAAATAATAAATTTAGAAGTTTTGATCCAATTATTCTCAAATCTATAATTTTTAGTAACCTAACCTTTTTTTAAGAAAAATAAGAAAAAAAAAAAACATTTGCACTTCAATTTACATGGTAAATAAATTTTGTTTTTTGACTTTATCTTGATGAGAAAAATTGTTTTAAAGTTTTGAAAAGGAGAAGCTAGTTATTTTTATTTTTAGTTTTAAAAGAAGAAGCTAGTATTGGGCCAAGGGTTTGCTAGGGTTTTCTTATCTCCATTCCCTTCAGCATCTATACTCTGTACTCACTTTGCTCGAAGAAGAAGAACCTGATTGGTTTTGGAGGCTCAGCTCTCGATCTTGAACAGGATGGTAGGGTTCTCGATGCAGCCATACGGGATTCAATCGATGCTGAAAGAGGGCCACCGGCATTTGTCCGGGCTCGACGAGGCCGTGCTTAAGAACATCGACGCCTGCAAGCAGCTCTCCACCATTACTCGCACCTCCCTCGGCCCCAATGGTTTCTTTCCATCTTTCTCTCATTTCTTTTTACCCCTTTGTGTTTTCTTTTCTTTTTGGGTTTTCTAGTGTACCTATGTTTAGCTTCAATCGGATAGCCACCCGATGTAACGAGCCTGACGCCGTCTCAAGTTTCATTTTTTAGTAGTCTATTTTGGAAATCTGGCCCAAATTCAACTCATTACGATCTTGTATGTGCCCCTCAGCCGCTGATCTTTTATAAGCATTGGTTCACGCTTCTCTTTCGATGTTACAATAGTAGTAAGGGTGTTTCTTTTGGGCAGATGTGATATTACTTAGTTAAAGAAGTCTAGTAGAAGCTTATGACTTGTGATTGATTCTTAGCTACTGTGAAGCCTAGACTAGTTTTGCTCACACAAAATATGTACTATGAGTACCCTGAGTACTTTGAAGATTAGGATATGTATGATCAGATCTAAAGTAGTTTGACTTGATCATTGATAATGTTATATATAAGTATATTGCTGCTGCCTTTATCCCCCAAGGAGATAAAGTTTTTTGTATTCATTCTACTCCAATAAGATTTCCCAACCTGATTTAGTTAAGTTGGTTACACAGTAGAAAATTTTTTAGAACTTTCTTTGCGATCTGTTTAATTTTACCCTTCTGATGTACTCTTCTTTTCTTGTTAAGGTATGAATAAGATGGTTATCAATCATTTGGATAAGCTTTTTGTCACAAATGATGCTGCAACAATTGTGAATGAGCTGGAGGTTCAGCATCCTGCTGCCAAACTTCTGGTTTTGGCTGGGAAAGCCCAACAAGAGGAAATTGGTGATGGAGCAAATTTGACTGTTTCTTTTGCCGGGGAACTTCTTCAGAATGCAGAGGAGCTCATTCGGATGGGATTGCACCCTAGTGAGATCAGAGTTGGATACACAAAAGCAATTAATGAGGTTTGAGTTTGACACTTCGAACACCATTACTACTTATTTAGAACATTATTCGAGAGTGCATGAACTTTTCTTAGCTGATTTCCTTCTCACCCCTATAATGAAATTGCAGACCATTAGAGTACTGGAGGAGTTGGTTGTAGAAGGTTCAGAAAGTATGAATGTGAGAGACAAAGATGAAGTAATTTCACGAATGAAATCTTCAGTAGCCAGCAAACAATTTGGTCAGGAGGATAAATTATGCCCTCTCATTGCTGAGGTAATTCACCTTTTCCACAAAGCTTTTAACCTACCTCTTGATTGGGCTGACTGGAACTGCATTTTCTTTTGAAGGCATGCATACAAGTTTGCCCCAAGAACCCAGCAAATTTCAATGTGGATAATGTGCGAGTTGCAAAACTACTGGGTGGAGGTCTGCATGATTCCAAAGTAGTTCGGGGTATGGTGTTAAAGAGCGATGCTGTTGGGACGATAAAAAGAATGGAAAATGCCAAGGTGAGTTCTGTACTCACGCAAATTGGCAGCTGCACGAGTATTTTTTTATTATTGTCTTGCTTGTATGGAGGATGAGTATATATGCTTTGCCTATCATATAATGCTACTTTCATGCTGAGATATCTTGGAAAGCCTTTGTGTTTTTGGAACTGTGAATGTCAGGTTATCCAAATGGTCAAAACTGGTGATTGCTTGTACACTCTATAGAGTTCCTTTCTTATTTATGCATAAAGTAAGGTGAACCCTGAAAGCTAGAAGTAAAATTAGAAAAAGTTCAGCAGTTTGGTAAGAGGGAATTGGAGTAGGTGAATATAATGAGAAGTAACAAATCACTACATTGGAACCCTTGTTATATGGAGTGTCTTTTTTCTACTAGGTTGCCACATTATTGCTCCATTCTGTGATGGCGGATATTATAAAAATCACATATTCATTTTGTTCACTGTGTCAGGTTGCTGTATTTGCTGGGGGTGTTGACACAACTGCTACAGAAACAAAGGGGACTGTTCTCATTCACAGTGCTGAGCAGGTATATTCATGAACTCACTCTGGTTAAATTCAGAATATGTTTCCAGTGCATGTTGTTTTGAAGTATGCTAATTATATTGTTTCACTTTGTAGCTTGAGAATTATGCAAAGACTGAAGAAGCTAAGGTTGAGGAGCTAATCAAAGCAGTTGCAGATTCTGGTGCAAAGATTATAGTTAGTGGAGCAGCTGTTGGAGAAATGGCACTGCATTTTTGTGAGCGCTACAAGTACAATATCGTTGCCTTTAGACTCAGTGGTTTCTCTGTGCTCCTTTTCTATGTTCGTTATTCTAGTTATGGTTCTTTTTGTAATGGGTGCTGTGGTTTACCTAAAATTATATTAGATACGGCCAACAGCATATTAGTAAATAGTTAATAGTTTTTTTTTTTTAATGGATAATTTGGTCAATCAATTAGTGCCTCTTCATGTTCAAAGTCTGTTTTATGTTGCTTGACAAATCCATTGTTGCCACTTCTAAGTTCAAATACATATAAGATTATTATTGCTCTCAAGCCATGCCTTCATCATTTTAATTTCACCATTTACATCCTCAATTTTGGGCTTGTTCTATGGAATTCTGAATATTTATACCCTAATTAGTAATTAGTCAATGTGATTCGACAAGAGTTCCATGACATAAGTGTATAATAGTCGATTGAACAAATGCATGCTTTAAGTATCACAGATCAAATTATTTTCTATTTGCTAAATCTTGTTTCGCTGACATCGTTATCTTGTCCATATACTCTTATCATTATTATGGCATTGTATAAACATATCTTGAAGTTCTTTTACAGTTCATCATTATGAACTCGTACGGATTTTTTTTTTTTTTAATTTAACCTGAAACATTGTTCTGTAGGCTCATGGTGCTAAAAATTAGCTCCAAATTTGAATTACGACGATTTTGTCGCACGACTGGTGCTGTTGGTCTGGTAAGCTTGACAGACTGACTTGGATTAAAGCGTATGGTACTTTTATTTATCCTGACGATCTGCTCTTTTTGTGGGGACAGTTAAAGCTCAGTCAGCCCCATCCAGATGATCTTGGATATGTTGATTTTGTTTCAGTGGAAGAAATAGGCGGGGCTAGGGTATGACGAACACTGTTGCCTTTTATATTGATTATTCAAACCCGATTTATTTACGCTTTCTGCTTTTCCAGCAGTGACATCGGTTTTTTTTGTTATAATTTTTTTTTTTTT